GCTAAGCGCCCAAAGGGGTGAATTGTGAGATCCGACGCTGACCCTCAAGGGGGTGGATTGTGAGATCCGCCGCTGGCCCTCAAGGGGGTGGATTGTGAGATCCCACATTGGTTGAGGACACTGAACGCCTAAAGGGGTGACTTGTGAGATCCTACATTGGTTGAGGACGCTGAGTGTCACAACCTTACTATGAAGAGAGTAGGTTGTGACCCTCACGCCATGACAAGCAAAGGGGCGTCCCTCAAGAAACGGCCATCCGGCCATATGCGGGCCAACGTAGAAGAATGTCATGATGCGATCGAGGAGGACGATGCATCATCCAACACACCACCATGCAAAGTGGGCATTGAAGACATGTTGAGACACAAGCATAACAAAGACATCAGCATAGACATGAAGGACAAGATAGACTTTTTGAAGGGCCGGGTAGGGCCCCGAGCCTTAACCTCAAAAGTCGGGGTTTCAAAAGGAATTTGGGCATGCGGTTCGTGAGTTAAGTCCGTCCATATGAAATATGAATGCTCGCCAAGTTTGGTGTCAATCGGACATTGGACGGACAATGCACGACACCGTATGACACCTCACAAAAATCATGTCTACTCTTGGTAAAATGAAAATGGCTCAAAATGTATTATATAGGGGTACCATGGTGTTAGCTCTCCACCACCCCTGGGCCCTGTGGCCTAAGTGAGCTACCCTGTGGCACATACGTGTGTCACAGTGTGGGCGAGCGTGTCGAGACAAGTGTCTCGGGCGACTTCCTTTGAAATGGGTTTTTGAAGGACAGTACCGGACGGCACGGGTGTGCCGGTATTGCGCCCTAGCCCGCGTGTTGGAGGTTGCTACATACACCCGCTATCCAGTACGGTATCCATAAATGACTCGGCATGGACACGGGAGGGCCTATGCCTCGATAGAACCCGGATGGATGGATGTTCGAGAAGCCCCGATGAGATGAACGACACACGGGCCCATTCTCGATGGCACGACCGAACGAGTTATGATGGCCGACGACATCCCGAGACTCGGGATGGCGTCAAGACATATGGACCCTGTCGATGGGGATCGAGATGGTAAGACGAGATGCGACGTTGTATTGAGAGACCTTGGCCCGAGTAGAGGCAAGGTCGAGTCAAATGAGTTGGCCTAGCGTAGAGGCAAGTCGGATGTGTCGCAGACGATTGAACATACACGCACAGTCGGTGTGTGTGGTTGAACAAGCTTGGATTCCGCACAAGCGATGTTCGATTGGCGAAGACAAACCTCGCCTAAGGTCCGACGAAGCCACAAAGCCGGGATGAAAAATATATATGAGGCTTGATCCCCCTTAAGGCTAGTCGTGAGCGTGTATCGATCACGACGCCGCACGGTCAAGAATGTAGGACCGTGACAGTTGGTATCAGAGCCACACTTTGTGCGTCTAGTCGGGCAAGACAATCAAGAGAAATGAACCCAAGAGTTGATCAAAGACCTTGCAAGTGTGTCAAGAGTGCCGAAGTGGGCAGGACAGTTGTCGGTCAGAATTATAATCAGTTGGGGGTTGAAGCCAAGACTACCCGAAATTCATTAGTGTCGTGTGTCGACACCTCAATATGGGAAGATCTACCCGTCAAGCAAAACTAAGCTCACCTGACAAGAGCTTGCAATTTCGAAGTAGACAAGACAGATGAAACAAAAAGCACCATGACGGTGCCTTCCAAAGAACCATTCACATTAGAGAAATAGTGTCAGTGGTTGCAAGCAGAGAAGCCGAGAGTCAAGAAAAGACAAACGTCGGCCGAGTGCAAAAGCCGTATACAATGTAAGTCCTTATGGAGGGACGACCTTGCTGCAAAGAGGCAGCTGAGTTCGAGCGGGGGAGAGCAACATCAATAAGTCTCTCACCCCGTAAAGGTGTTCAGACATACGAGCAGACGTGTATTCCTTGAGTCAGCACCTTGTGCCTAGGGTGGATGACTCCACCAACAGATGTCAAGACCAATATCCGCTCGAGAAGTGAGCGTCAAGTTAGAAGTTCAAGGACAACAATAGTCACACGAAAGTGACAAAATACAAAGAGTTGGCCGAAAGTTAGCGCCAACAACTAAAGAGACTGTCAAAGAGTTGACTTTGCTCAATAGGAGAAGTGGTCGCAACCAAAGAGTGTTGCGGCCGAGCTTGCGAGCCCCACCCCAAGGGGTGAACTAATTCACAGGAGAAGTGGTCGCGACCAAAGAGTGTTGCGGCTGGGCTTGCGAGCCCCACCCCGAGGGGTGCACTAGTTCACAGGAGAAGTGGTTGCGACCAAAGAGTGTCGCGGCTGGGCTTGCGAGCCCCACCCAGAGGGGTGCACTAGTTTATGTGATCCACAAGAGGATACACACACTGGGGCCAAGTTGGCCACAATAGGGCAAAAGTGCCCTTCTAAGCCCATAGACATTTGGGGAGTGCCTGCAAAGAGAGTTAGCCTCGCCCACAACTATGGCAAACGCTGAAGAGTCACGTCTACGTTGCGAGTCTCGGTGGCCGAGTCCAAGATGGGTGAACAACAGAAATATGTCCGAAGAGGGATAGCCGTAGATAAAGAAACAAGCCTAAGTGAGGACAAGTTCACCCAACAACTGACCAAGTCAAGAGTCAGACCGTGGTGCCACCTGACAAAAAGAGAAGTCAGAAGCATCCACTCGAACTTGTCCTATGTTGGCATAAGACGTCAGCAAGAAGAGCATTATGACAAAAGATCGTCAGGTGCTCAACAATAGTATACATTTCTGAAGCACAACCAAATCCAGCGAGTCGAGTCGCCAATAGACAAAGAGTTGGATCGTCATCGGGACGATGCCGAGATTGAGTGGGAGAGAATTTCACAATAGGTGGGGCGAACGCGCCCGAGAAAGTTATCGAGGATGATGACTAAATTAAGTAGGGGAGAATGTCACAATCTGCAACATGATTGTGACTCGAGTAAGTCATCGAGGACGATGACTAAGTTAAGTGGGGGAGAATGTCACAACCTTACTATGAAGAGAGTAGGTTGTGACCCTCAAGCCATGACAAGCAAAGGGGCGTCCCTCAAGAGACGGCCATCCGGCCATATGCGGGCCAACGTAGAAGAATGCCACGATGCGATCGAGGAGGACGATGCATCATCCAACACACCACCACGCAAAGTGGGCATTGAAGACATGTTGAGACACAAGCATAACAAAGACATCAGCATAGACATGAAGGACAAGATAGGCTTGTTGAAGGGCCGGGTAGGGCCTCGGGCCTTAACCTCAAAAGTCGGGGTTTCGAAAGGAATTTGGGCATGCGGTTCGTGAGTTAAGTCCGTCCATATGAAATATGAATGCTCGCCAAGTTTGGTGTCAATCAGACATTGGACGGACAATGCACGACACCTCACAAAAATCATGTCTACTCCTGGTAGAATGAAAATAGCTCAAAATGTACTATAGGGGGTACCATGGTGTTAGCTCTCCACCACCCCTGGGCCCTGTGTCCTAAGTGAGCTACCCTGTGGCACATACGTGTGTCACAGTGTGGGCGAGCGTGTCGAGACGAGTGTCTCGGGTGACTTCCTTTGAAATGGGTTTTTGAAGGACAGTACCGGACGGCACGGGTGTGCCAGTATTGCGCCCTAGCCCGCGTGTTGGAGGTTGCTACATACACTCGCTATCCGGTACGGTATCCGTAAATGACTCGGCATGGACAAGGGAGGGCCTATGCCTCGATAGAACCCAGATGGATAGATGTTCGGGAAGCCCCGATGAGATGAACGACACGCGGGCCCATTCTCGATGGCACGACCGAACGAGTTATGATGGCCGACGACATCCCGAGACTCGGGATGGCGTCAAGACATATGGACCCCGTCGATGGGGATCAAGATGCGACGTTGTATTCAGAGACCTTGGCCCGAGTAGAGGCAAGGTCGAGCCGAATGAGTTGGCCTAGCGTAGAGGCAAGTCGGATGTGTCGCAGACGATTGAACATACACGCACAGTCGACGTGTGTGGTTGAACAAGCTTGGATTCCGCACAAGCGATGTTCGATTGGCGAAGACAAACCTCGCCTAAGGTCCGATGAAGCCACAAAGCCGGGGCGAAAAATATATATGGGACTTGATTCCCCTTAAGGCTAGTCGTGAGCGTGTATCGATCACGACGCCACACGGTCAAGAATGTAGGACCGTGACACTGAGCGCCCAAAGGGGTGAATTGTGAGATCCCACATTGGTTGAGAACGCTGAGCGCCCAAAGGGGTGGATTGTGAGATCCCACATTGGTTGAGGACGCTGAGCGCCCAAAGGGGTGAATTGTGAGATCTGACGCTGACCCTCAAGGGGGTGGATTATGAGATCTGACGCTGGCCCTCAAGAGGGTGGATTGTGAGATCCCACATTGGTTAAGGACGCTGAGCGCCCAAAGGGGTGGATTGTGAGATCCAACGTTGGCCCTCAAGGGGGTGAATTGTGAGATCCCACGTTGGTTGAGGACGCTGAGTGCCCAAAGAGGTGGATTGTGAGATCCGACGCTAGCCCTCAAGGGGGTGGATTGTGAGATCCCACATTCGTTAGAGAAGAAAATGAAGCATTCCTTATAAGGCAACAATGTGAAAACTTTTGCCTAATAGACGCATTTTAAAAATCGTGAGGTCGACAACGATACGTAACGGGTCAAAGCATACAATACCTACTAGCGATGGACTTGGGCTGTAACAAATGGTATTAAACCCAAACACCAAGCGGTGTGTCAGCGAGGACACTGGACCACCCCACATCCGTTGGAGAGGAGAAGGAACCATTCCTTATAAGATAAGAGTGTGGAAACCCCTCCCTAGTAAACACGTTTTAAAAATCGTGAGGTTGACAACAATACATAACAGGCTAAGGACAATATCTGCTAGCGGTGGACTTGGGCTATTACAACCTATGTTCGGTAACAGGTAGTGTTCTTCATTTCACATCATAAAATGCAATATCTATAGGTTATATGAAGAAACCCAAGAGATATTGAGACACCAATGACAATACGTTCCATAGATATCTAAACATTTTCTATTACAAACATATCTACATCTGAGAAGCAGCCATAGCAACCAGACATCAACATCATGTCGATCAACCAGATATCAGCATTCTACAGATGTCAGTTTATTTTACGGTTTTGTGCAACGTTTTCATTCGCCAAGGGATCGGTTTTACATATATCGAAACGGGGATAAACCGATTCATGAGTATTCAAAATACAAGCTGGTTTACCCCGACGAGAACAACAAATTAAACTAACCGAGACTGTTCATTGAGCACGGTCTCTGATCACATCCAGGTCCATCTCTGCAGGGTCGGTAGCTTGAATCTCGTAGTGTATGCCATTGAGATCGTGTCGAAAGCTGTCCTTCGATGTCGCATAGAGCATCTTAGCACGGATTCGTGAACTAGCTGGAGACCTGAAGTACAATAATCTAGTGTGAAGAATAATCCATGAATAACCAAGTGACTATGAACATGAAGAATCCTAGTGCCTAGAGATTAGAAATTGTAGTTTGATTTTAAATAGTCGCAGGTGATCAGGTGGTCATAGGATCAAAACCTTTTGATCTTCGGATAACTAACGTTTTTGTAATAGCCCAAGCCCACCACTAGCAGATATTGTCTGCTTTGGCCCGTTACATATCACTGTCAGCCTCATGGTTTTAAAACACGTCTAGGGAGAGGTTTTTCACACCCTTATAAAGAATGTTTCGTTCCCCCTCTCCAACCGATGTGGGATCTCACAATCCACCTCCCTTGGCACCGCCCGATGTCTGTCTCTGATGCCATTTGTAACAACTCAAGCCTATCGCTAGTAGATATTGTCCGTTTTGGTCTGTTACGTATTGCCGTCAGCCTCACAATTCTAAAACGCGTCTACTAGGGAGAGGTTTACACACCCTTATAAGGAATGCTTCGTTTCTCTCTCCAACCGACGTGGGATCTCACAATCCACCCATTTTGGGGGCCCCATTGTCCTCGCTGACACACTACCCGATGTCTGACTTTGATACCATTTGTAACCGCTCAAGCACACAGCTAGCAGATATTGTCTGCTTTGGCCTGTTACGTATCACCGTCAGCCTCACGGTTGTAAAACGCATTTGCTAGAGAGAAGTTTTCCACACCCTTATAAGGAATGCTTCATTCTCGAACCGATATGGGATCTCAATGCGGTGTTGTGGAGCAACCCAATGAACAATGTATATCGAGTAGGCATTAACATGGCAATGAGAAAGATAAGAGTAAGTTGATGATAGGTAAAAGCTAACCATGCTATGAAAAATATCTTGCTCTTCTGGCAGTTGTCGGATGTCACGAAATCAAAATCATAGACAGCGTAGCGACAATCGTTGTCGGGCAGAGCAGCAGTGAAATCTTCATAGCTCTCTGCAGGACTGCCAATCTTGTCAACCACCACCTCTCGTTTCTTTTCATCGACCTTAAAGATCACGTATCGATACATTTTCTTTCTCTGTAGTTCAGAAAATATTTTCTTGGTGTGTTCATTCACACCCATTGCAGATAAAGTGTTTTGCTGCAAAGGTAATTCATACATGTCAAGCAATCAAATAGAAGTCCATGGAGGAATCATATAGACAAATAACAATAACAGCCTCCAAGTTTTAAAACGCGTTTGCTAAGGAGAGGTTTCTACACTCTTATGAAGAATGATTCGTTCCCTTCTTCAACCGATGTGGGATCTCACAATTCACCCCTTTTCAGGGCCCAACGTCCTCGCTGGCATTTGTTCCCCTCTCCAATCGATGTGGGATCTCACAATCCACCCCCTTTTAGGATCCAGTGTCCTCGCTGACACTCCAACCAATATGGGATCAATCCACTCCCTTTCAGGGCCCAACGTCCTCACTGACACTTGTTCCCTTCTCCAACCGATGTGGGATCTCACAATCCACTCCCTTTTTAGGGCCCAACATCCTCACTGACAATCGTCCCCCTCTACAATCGACGTGGGATCTCACAATCCACCCCCTCTTGGAGTTCAGCGTCCTCGTTAGCACTTGTTCCCCTCTCCAACTGATATGGGATCTTATAATCCACTCCCTTTCAGGGCCCAGCGTCCTCGCTGACACTCGTTTCCCTCTCCAACCGATGTGGGATCTCAAAATCCACTCCCTTTTAGGGCCCAGCGTCCTCACTGACAATCGCCCCCCTCTACATTCGATGTGGGATCTCACAATCCACCCCCTCTCGGAGTTCAGCGTCCTCGTTGGCACTCGTTCCCTTCTCCAACCGATATGGGATCTCACAATCCACCCCTTTTAGAGCCCAGCGTCCTCGCTGACACTCGTTCCCCTCTCTAATCGATGTGGGATTTCACAATCCACCCCCTTTAGGAGCCCAGCATCCTCGCTGACACTCATTCCCCTCTCCAATTGATGTGGGATCTCACAATCCACCTCCTTTAGAAGCCCAACGTCCTCAGTAACACTCGTTCTCCTCTCCAATCCACGTGGGATCTCACATATACCAACAAAGTAAACAAAATCCCGAGATCCCAAATAGATTCAAGTTTTATAATCCTAAAGTTTCTAAAAAGAAATTACAAAACGAACAAAGAAGAAGACACTGGCACAGAATCAGACCCCACCCTCCACCTCCAAAACCTGATCAGTAAGGATCATAACTTCCTCCCTTTAAATCAAAGCTTTCAGAGCCATAGCATAACCTCCCTAATCCAACATTTTTCACCAAAACACACCATATTTGCAGAACAAAGCAAGAAATTAAGGTCACAAAATACATACATGCAGGATCCACAAGATGGGTAGTTCTCAAACATCAAAAGTGGGTTAAGAATCAAGAGATACACATAATCAGCATCAAATCAGAACAAAACCCAGTTTCCCAGTTGACATGTAGTTGAGTTAAAAGCAAAGAAAACATGAAAGTAAGAACATAAAGATACCCGTCGGAGGCCTCTGAACGACATGATGATCGGAGAAGCGGCGGCGATTAAGAAGCTTAAGCAAAGGGAGGAGGAGAAGAAAGATCAGAGATGGTAGGCACAAGAACCAGAGGCAGAAGATATAGAAAGAAGAGAAAGGGAAAGGAAATGAGACCCAATGGCTAATCCTGCCAATTTCCCAAACAATCAAACTGAAATATTCTTCTCTCCCAAAGTTTTTTTTTTTTTTTTTTTTTTTTTTTTTTTTTGTGCTAAAAAAAATTACAAAATTTGGTAAAATAACTTTCATCTCAACTTAATTTCTATTTGTTCTTGGCTTTTGATTTAAATTTAGTTTATATTTGATCATTTTAGTTTTTAAAAACAAAATGTTTGGTTTTAATTCTTAATTTATCTTTAAATTTGAAATTAATTTTTAAATGGTCCATAGAAAAGGTACATGAATGAACTGAGACTACATACCAAGAGAACGATTTTGAGAATTGAAAGTCACTCTCTATACTAATAAGATGCACCTTTTTTTTCAGTGGCTCAATCACAGTAATTTTATGATTAAGCGTGAAAGAGGTATTTTTTAGAATGCATGTGAGTGAGGACAAAGTATTCTGAGAGGACACGAGTAAATAACGTGACCATGTTGAGGTTGAGGATACGAGTAAGTAACGTGACCATGTTGGGAGTTATTAGGTGTCGAATCTAGATTTCGAATCCTAGGCATCGGTTATTACCTAAAGATGGTTCGAGGACGAACCAAGGCAGAGGTTGGAAAGTACGTGACACCGAAGTAAATGGATGACACTTAAAAATTAAAAAATGTTTTCACAGTCGACCAATACTCAAGTTGATATATATTTTTTAATAAAAAAAATATAATAAATTAATAGAAATTTGTATAATTTTGAATGAATTTGAAGGTTGCAAATAAGGAAAATGATAAAATAATGAAATTAGATGTGATATTTGAATAAATTTGGGTTTATTATATAATTAAATGTGACAATTAGCTCATATATTTGTTCATTATTTGGATGATATTAAAACCTTATGAGATCCAACTCACATATTTAATATATATATTCTTTTTTAGAAAAAAAAAAGCTTATTATTATTATTATGGAAACCATGTATTATATTTTCCTTTAGCTTACAAATTTGGAAAATTAGTATTGAAATGCAATTAATTTCTTCCTCTTTTTTCATGGGACTATTTTCGTTCGGCTCTTTAATTTTATTATTTGTCTCGAACATATCTGTATTCTTTGAAAAATTACAATATATTTCTTTGACGGCGCATGGATTGGGTTGGGTTGTGAAAATCTTTTGGATCAATCGAAATTTTGGATTGATTGGATTGGTGATTCGAGCCACCCAAATAAAATTCACAACCCAATTCGACCTAATCTAACCATTTATTTTTAGGTTGGGTTAGGTTGTCGGGTTATTCGTTTATTTAAAAAAAAAAAAATTATTTACCATCCTAGAGGTGAAGGTCATCCGTCTAATCTATATAGAATTTTCTTTATATGGTTACATTGAATTAACCAATCGGGAGTTTATAGCCTTTCTTTGACAAATTAACTACTTGTCTCGGGTGGAAACCTTACGACAAGCCTCTGGAAAGGAAATCAACGTGGGAACTCTCTCTTAAGGTCTTTGACTTTACTCATTTAGGGCTTGCATGACCCATCAATTTATGGTGGCAATGTGGGCGGGACAAACGTATGCTCGACGAGGAAAACACTTGAGGAGATATAAAGACTATCATATCTTAGAGTAGAACAAGCGCTCTAGGAAAAGAACGGTTACCTTGTTACAGCGTAAATCTCATAAATTTCAAATATCAAACATTCACAAGTCATAATGCTGACATCCGTTACAAATGTCAAATATTCTTGATTTTCATAATAATCTTAAAATTAAGGTTAGGTTGTAACCTTATTTTCGAATCGGTCGAGTTGACTCAACCAAGAACATGTCAACTCACAAACCGACCTCAATTTTTTATTTTTTCCAAAAATTCAATCCAACTTTTATAGTTTGGGTTTATTTGACATTTTATAAATGTTTCGAGTCCAATTTTTTTTGTTCAAAGTTTTAAATTTTTTTTCTTTCAAATATAATATTAAAACGTTTATAAATAATTAAGGATAATATTGTATTTTTTTAAAATTTAGTAACATTGTTCCAAAGGTAAAGTTTAAAGTTATGTCGTTCTAACTTTTCGCTCTCTTTTTCATGTCGCTCTCACCGTCATAGGCACGTCCCTACTGAGAAATACACTTTATTGATGGAAAACGTAGCAAACTTTATGTTTTTAGCAACTTTTGTGATACGTTACGTGTATAAATATGTTAATAATACATTAATTTTTTTACAACACATACCAAATCGAGAAATTATAATGCACTAAAAAAATAAAATCGACAATTTAAAAAGATTAAAAAGGAATTTAAGAATCATATAGTATATTACATTAATAAATTATGAGTTAGGATATAAATACTATATAATAAAATGTTTAATAGAAAAAATGATTAAAAATTTATTAAAGTTTAGAAAATTAAAAAAAAGAAAAAAGAAAAAGGATGCGTTGTAGTAACGCAGGGTTGTCTTTAATAATGTCTGGTGGGTCTTTCATTACTTCTGGGGCCCACTTCCTTCAATTCCTCGCACGTGTCCATCTTCCCCACACGCTTTATATTAGCATTTTCTATTTTTTTTCGATAAATAAATAAATTATTATATTTTGTATTTAATAAGTTCAGGTATTAAATACAAAATAAAAAAAAATGTACGCTAAATTAATAAGAATATCCTCTCAATTAGATAAAAGATATATATTTTAAAATTTTAAAATTTTAAAAATATTATTATCATGAAAAATGTTAATATTTTATTTAAAAAATAAGGTAAATTTTTAAAATTTTCTTTAATAACCTTAAATTTTTTTTAAAATTAAAAAAACATTTAAAGTTCTTTTCAAAATTTAAATAAAAATATTCATTAACTTTAAAAAAATAATATTAAAAAATTTGGAGATAATTTATAAGGCGTTGATAGACATTTTTTTTTATCTATATATTGACGATATTTTTTATATAGGTAAAGGATGTCATCCTATTTTTAAAAATTTAAAATTTATTTATCATTAATTATATTTATATATTTTAGGTGAGGGGAAACCAATCTCCACCGTCGGATGGACCCACCGAAATTAAGATCTTACGTAGGACATTTGGTCGGAAAGTTGGCCAGCGGTTGGGTCCCACAGGCTATAGCCAATCACGTTTTACCGCCGCCGCGTTGTTGTTATTATTATTATTATCACACTTTAATATTCAATTTCAAATAATGATTTCATTAAATATCATTTTCGAGTTTGAATATATAGTGAATTTATTATCACTATTGGGGAATAAATTAATAAGTAAAAAATTAAAATCAACCAAGGCGTAGGCGCACGATCTGACCCAGGTACGTGATCTAACCTAGGCACGTGACCCAAATCAAAACACACACATACGACCCAAAGGGGTTTGAGCACGGTTCTCTCTTTAGCTGTTGGTTTACGTCTAATTCGCTTCTGAGTCACTAGTTTAGCTTGTCACTTCATCATGCTAAGGAAGCATTGGAATCGTCTTCATTTTATTTAGAGATATATATCATTGATCAAGAGATCTGAATTTGATCCTCATCTTCACGTGTTGGACCAAGAAAAAACTTTAGTTTATTACTTCTCGTTCCTTTATGAGGACCTATCGAAATAGGTAGGCCCAAGCCTTGTCCTCTTTCCGACCGAACGGTAATAGCTAGGGTTAGTCGTTTGAGATCGATAGATTCCTACCACTTTCTTACTTGAATTGAATATAGAAAAATCATTTTTTAGATTTGGTGATATCATTACGAAGAATTTTTTGAATAAATAATAATTAATAGATGGTCAAAAATGGGTGAAGGGAAGATCTTAGAGAAAGTTTCAATCTTAATTAATTAACATTAACTAACTTTCCTTCCTCTTTCCTTTTAAGTTTAAAAGTCTCCAAAGACATAATTACAAACCTTTAATTAGTGGATGTCTTCTCACTCACAATTTGTTTATCCTTAAATGCTCCATTTTCGTCACAAATAACTCCGAGGTTGACTTATAGCAACTTCCACCTCACCTTCTTAATCAAATGTTTTTTTCACGCCTTTCTTAGCCGTAGATTAGTGTGAGCAACACGTCCTGGACGGGCATAACCATGACACTGGGCAACTTACTCGGTTTGAGCTACTTTTGAGGGTGAATATTGTGCCCACAAACCAACACGATTCTCATTTCTACATTCCCTGCAATATAGTCACGTTACTTACTCTTTGCTTCTAAGAGTGAGGACTATCCCTACAAACCAACACGAGTCTTTCTAGGATGCCTGGCCTTTCTCTACATCCGTTGCAACATGGTCAAGTTACTTATTCCTTGCTATCGATTAAAGCAAAACACACTTAATTGTAGAGTTTCTATGATTGAGCCACTGAAAAAGAAGGTGCACCGAGTCCACATCTGAATGAGAACAATCTTGAAGTAACTTTTAGTTCTTTAGAGTCTTTCTTAGCTATCATATCTTTAGGATTGCTCTCATTCAGATGTGGACTCAGTTCATTCATGTACCCCTCCTTTACTCTAGTATCACATGCCCACAAGCTTCCGTGTTGGTTCGTTCTCGAACCACATCTTACAAGAAAAGGTACCACTTTGATACCAATTCTTATGTCTCATGTCCATAATTTGGATAAGGATTCGAAATCTAGACTTGGCATTTGATAACTCTGATATTCTCCCGCATCTCCTACGATATGGTCAAATTACCTATTTTCACTTCTAGAGTCAAAATTATCCCAACAAACCAATATGGGTCCTTTCAGCATTTTTTGTCCTCACTCACAGGCTTCATAGAGTTGCTCTAAGCAAAACATGCTTAACCTTAAAGTTTCTATGATTGAGCTATCGAAAAGGAAAGTGCACCTTGTTGGTATAGGTAGTGATTTTCAATTCTTTTAACATGATATGCCATGTACACTTATTCACATGATTATTTTAGGATTATGAAATACTGTTATGTTATGCCACGTACGTGTTCATGAAAGTTATATTTATGAAAGAATGAATGTACGACCTACATCATAC